CATAATCTACTGCCACCCGCCCCCGCCATCCATCACCACCCACTGTGGTGACCTCCGGAGCCACGGCCTGCGATAAGGGACACTGGCTGCCCTTTGCAAAGATGGTGGCTGTGGCTTCTTTTAGGGCAGGGAAGTTGCAGGCACCATCTTTGCAAAGGGCAGCCCAGATTCCCTTAGCCTCCCTTAAGGGAATCCAGGCTGCCTTTTGCAAAGATGGTGGCTGCAGCTTCTCTTAGGCAGGAAAGCTGCAGTCACCATCTTTGCAAAGGCAGCCTAGATTCCCTTAAGTATACTTGCATTTATCATAGCTATTTGTATTCTGACTAAACCACACAGTCAGTAACATCTGGGTTCTCACTGAAACATGAACAAACTACTACAGTATAATGTAGGTGGCTACTTTTCTTTTACAGGGTCTGGTATGTGCTGGAATGGCTGATATGGCCAGGCCAGCAGAAAAGCTCAGCACGTCACAGTCTGCTGTGCTTATGGCTACTGGTATGTATATTCTGTGTTTAAAAAATCTTCAGGTACTTTTAAATGTGCACAAATGAAGATATAATTGGGGAACGTGATATAAAAGCAATTTCAGAAATATACAATCCCTCACTCTAGCAGGAACACCTACAAATGGATTTGTTTGAACTAGTGAGACCTTAGTCTAGGAACTTTGCGCTACAAAATGTCCTAACAGGAGTAAAGTACAACATAAATCAGAGCACATTGTGATCAGAGCACATGTGATCAGAGCACATTGTTCACATTGCTAAGCTGCAGTCTTTATGGAGATGGTGGTGTGTCATTTGCATACAGGATCTTCAACTATTACTTGACCGTTGGTTAAAATGACTTAGTTTTTCAGGCATGACTCCTCAAATAGTCCCGTTCTTTTGTTAGTAATTTTTTGTTTGCATAAGTGACCAAAATTTCTAGGCTGTGGGATGTGCTGTGAATCTCCTCCCTCCTGTTTGATTTTTCACTAGTTACTCTGTGATCAAAGCCCTGTGCACAGACTCTTTGCTGAATGGTAGGTTCCTTTAAGAATATGGCACTTTATTTCAGCACTTTTAAATAACAGGAAGCCTTGCCTGCATTTACAGGTCTAATTTGCTTATCAGTGCACTTCTAGAAACAAGCGCCATTTGATTAGAACTTGTTTCCCTTTAATTTTGGATATTACTCTTGTTGATTAGTAGTAGTAGTAGCGGGAGTAAATTTTTATTTCACCCATCTAGTGATAAGCAACTACTCTGAGCTGTTTATAACAAAAACACATAAAAACGCCCACCCACCCCCCATGTACCTTCCAAAAATAAAAAATAAAAAGAACCCTCAGTGGTGACAGTAGCCAGAAAATAAGATTTAAAGTGTAACAAACATTATAGCTTATTGAGAGTTCTTGAAAGACTTCTCTGCAAAGATGTGCTTTAATTAACTTTTTGTATGCAAGGAGGAAAGGGGCCTGGCATATACCTCTGCTGGCAGAGAGTTACATAATGTGGTGACCACCACTAAGAAGGCCCAGTTCCTAGTCATAGATTTCTGGGCCTTTCACAGGTGGCAACCCACAGTATCATAGCTTGGGTAGAGCAGGTAGCATGGGCAATCTCAGATGAAATGGTTCAGCAGGTTTGAGTATTTGTAGAGCCACAGGACTGGAGTTCTACTCATCATCATGTCTCCAAGTGTCATAGGTAAGCTGCACAGTCCCAGAACTCCAGCAGGAGGGACTGATAAACCACACCTGAGTAGAGGTCAGTTCCAAGTGTTGCTATCTTTCATTCCATTAATTCAATATTAAGGAAATGGTTGTTGTGGGTTTTTCGGGCTCTTTGGCCGTGTTCTGAAGGTTGTTCCTCCTGATGTTTCACCAGTCTCTGTGGCCGGCATCTTCAGAGGATTGGAGTAGGAACTCTGTCCATGCTTTGTTGCTGTTTGTTAGACAGTTGAGTATTTATAGCTGTGGGAACAGCCTTTGTCCTTTTCAGGAGATAGGGTGATCAGCGTGTTTTTGTTGTGTATGTATTGTAGTGATAAGTGGGAGAGATTATCTGTCACTGTGGTTGATGGGTGTCTTTAGCTGGTCTCTGTTGTGCAATGATCCCTGGTCCTGTGGCTGTACAGTTTCTTGACCTTCTGCAGGCTGTATTTTCCAGCACTGGAAAATACAGCTTGTATTTTGTTCAGTTTCAGACTTTCCTCTTTTTTGTTGAAGCTATGTTGATGTTTATGGATTTCAATGGCTTCCCTGTGCAGTCTAACATAATGATTGCTGGTGTTGTCCAGTACTTCAGTATTTGAAATAAAATTTCATGTCCAGCTTGTTTTATGGCATGTTCAGTGACTGCTGATTTTTCTGGTTGTTTCAGTCTACAGTGTCTCTCATGTTCTTTGATTCTGGTGTGAATGCTGCACAAAGACTGTTCCCACAGCTATACTCAACTATCCAACAAACAGCAACAGAGCATGGACAGAGTTCCTACTCCAGTCCTCTAAAGATGCCAGCTACAGAGACTGGCGAAACGTCAGGAAGAACAACCTTCAGAACATGGCCAAAGAGTCCGAAAAACCCACAACAACCATCAGATCCCAGCCGTGAAAGTCTTCGAGAATACATTAAGGAAAATATTAAATTTCATATACAGTAATAGCATTTGGTCCAGAAATAACTGGAAGTACATACTTAATATATAGGAGTGTTGACATGTTTAGATTATTTGTGGCTTCTGATCTAAAAATCTGATGTAACAAATAATGTTGACATATGAAGTCTACTTGTTATGTAATCTTTTCATTTTCTTTATAATTTCACAGGCCTTATTTGGTCAAGATATTCTCTAGTTATCATTCCTAAAAATTGGGGTCTCTTTACGGTTAACTTCTTTGTTGGGTGTGCTGGTGGCTCTCAGCTCTACCGTATATGGAGGTAGGTGTTTTAAGTAAATAGGAAGATTTCCAACTATCGTTTTCTTTCCTGAAACAAACTCAGAATATTTTGTCATGTACAAAAGGTTATAGGGAAGAAATGTATTAAATCTTTTTGTGTCATACTGCTAAAGGCAAGGATACCTAACAGAAGGTAGATGCTGGCAACCCTTCTCTCCCTCCTCTCTGAAATTGCTATGGTCACCTGAACCCTGTGGTGTGGGTCAGGCGAGTGCCCCAGGTTCTGACTCAGGCTACAGGTAATGAGAAACCCAAACATCAAATTTAAGGTCCCAGTGCACACCTTGGGAAATTTACTTATTTGGACAAATCCCAGAATCTGGTGCCAAGCATGATCAGTAACCAAACAAATAACTTTCCTAAGTTCTTCTCAAGCCTTGCAAAATGATAAATCCCATCAGAAATGTACTTAGCTATGCAATAGCTCTCTCAAACTGATTAGCCCTCTCCAAGTTGTTTTCTTTTATACAACACTGCTTTCTTCCCCTACATAATGATATGTGGCAATGTGAGAATCAGAATGTTCAGCCGTCCTTCCCTTCTCCTTTAGAAACAATTGTGAAATTAGGTTCTCTAAATGAGATCTCAGTGGTTTCTGGCTGATTTTTTGCCCAGTTATATTGTGTTTCATCAGAATAAATACTGTGTTTCCCCGAAAATAAAACAGGGTCTTATATTAATTTTTGTTCCAAAAACGCATTAGGGCTTATTTTCAGGGGATGTTTTATTGTTTTCATGTACAACTATCTACATTTATTCAAATACAGTAACGTCATCTTCTTCAGGTTGCTGCACAATGGTGGAGGACGGGGTTTCACTTAACCAGGGCTTATTTTTGGGGTAGGGCTTATACGAGCATCCTGAAAAATCATACTAGGGCTTATTTTCAGGGAAACAAGGTATTAGTTGTTACAGCCCTGAATGTGAGTTTATGTTTCTTAGTAGGTCATTTGGAATAGCTTCTCTCAGACAAGAAATTTCTCACCCCTTTTCAGGGCTCAACATACTAAAAATATTGGCTGATATATGCACTGACTTTCAGGTTCTAGGTAACATTGTTAATATATCTGGAGTTTTATCCATTTTGACTTGAGCAGAGTGAATGGGTAGAAGGGATTTCATGTAATAGTTAACACCTTAAATTTTACTAGAAAATAATAAAAAAGGTGCAGTGAGGATCATCTAGTATTCCTGCCCTGCCCCCCTAGATTAACCATGCATAGTCTTCCTAAAGTAATAGCTAAACTTCTTTAATTCAAACATGAATGGCCATATTACTTTGTGGAAAGTACTCATAGTTAATTAATCATATATATTTTTCTTACAGGTATAACCAACAGCTAAAGGCTGATGAATTGGCAAAGCAGCAGTAGAAATTCCAGTTGTTCTCATAAACCTGTTCACAAGAGAGCTAGTCTTGATCATGTTGTTGCTCAGTGTGAATTTTTACTAAAATGAACAGAGCATGTTTTTCTATAAACTTGGAAAGCACTCTCTTTTAAGTTTCAAGTCTTCAATTAAAAAAGTAAAATAGATCTTTTTAACAATACATTATGCCCAATATGTTACACTTATTGTGAGTAGAACTAAGATTACTGTCTCATTCTACTGTTGCAATTCAGTTGTATCAAATGGCCCCCAAGCAACAACTGAAGTAGCAAGTTGGACTTCTAATGTGGGTTTTGCATTTTTTTAAAAAATCTAGACGCCCATGGAACATGGCACTCATTTTTTTCAACTGTGAATATATGTAGAAGGTTCTGAAAATTCTACTTTGAAATATTGGTTTAATTGTGCCTTCAAAAATTAAGAGTCACCCTTTTTCAGAATCTAATAATGTTAAATAAAACAGAAATTGTAAGAAATCTGGCCTAGACAATAAAAACTTATGTTGTGGGGTGCTGGAATAAAATATTGCTTGTGTAGTTTGCTACTGAAAATGATTCGTGCTCTCATCATGCGAAGTATATATGAACTACATACTAGCTTGGATCCTAAAAACAGCAAGCAGCAATTAGTGCAGAGTGTGGTGCCTACCACATGATGTTAAGCATCCTTCAGTCTCGAGAGACTATGGTAACATGTTCTGTATGGAGGACTTGGAACAGCATCTAGTGTGGCTGAGAAGGCCAATTCGAGAGTGGTAATACCTTTCCGTGTTGTTTTGACGCTGTATGCAAAGCTGGAGTGTCCTCTCCAGAGCACGAAGCCTGGGTAAAATAATATGAAGGATAGGCTGTTACCCAAGCAGCAAAACCCCCCTCTTCACGTCACAGAAATAGTCCAATGGAAAGGAAAGAGCCAATACAGTTGGTTCCAGCGGCATCACAGGAGTTGGCAGAATGACGCAAACTGCCTCTGGGACTCTGGATTTTGCCTTGAGTTTAACTCCTGAAGCCTTTTCCATCAGTGGATATAGCCACAAGGCAGTGGAGGTTTGAAATTGGAATTTTCCTTCTCCTAGATGGGCTGCCTTCCAAGGCTGATGAGCCCCACCTACCCGACCTGCTCTCTAAAAGTGTAGAAGTATGGTCCAACCCCTAAAACTTTCCTGACCCCCCCAGGTGTATGCAGGCACATGTTATGAAAGAGTAGCCAGTTATTAGCTATTTAACTTACTGTAGTTTTATTCCAGGGAAGAGTGTTTGTGTTTTACCTTAGTTGCCAAAATAACTTGGGTGCTGTGAATTTTGATGCACAAGAGAAGGGGAAGGGAGAACCATTTGGTGTTCAACTCAGCTAGTAAAATGCCTTAAGCCAGTATGGATTCTGAATGGTGAGTGCCTCCTCCTCTAAAGTTGCTCCATAGAGTTAGATATCTGTCTAGTAGTTTTGGTTCAGTGTAGGATACAGCTGCTGTTGAGAAAGGGAAATCAGTGGTAATTAGGCAATATATCCCATCCCTTCTATAAACAGAAGTATGTTTTACTAATGGAGGTGCTATTGGATCCAAACCGTTTTCAGTTGTTTAATCTCAATAGTTTTAGAACTGCAGAACTGGAAGTGACCCTATGGATCACTGAGTCCACCCCCTATCAAGAAAGCACAGTGAGGAACTCTCAAAATCTGGCTCTGCAGCCAGATGCATAACCCACTGGGCTATCCAGCATTTCACAGCTAAGAAGAAAAAGCATAAATGGGCCTGTTTGTTAATATGGAGCCATTTTCTGACTTAGCCTTGGAAAGTTAAAAGGGACTAAGTTCAGCTAGAGGGTCACAGCTTTTGCAATAGACAAGTCGCTGTAAAAACGTACCCTCTACCCAGTTGTGCAATTTAGACAACATGAAGGGTGATCAACTGGACACCAAATAGTACAGGGAGTCCAGTGTTTATGAAACAGCACAGATTTGGCATTAGGGAAGCTATAGCTCTTGAACTTTAGTACTGAATGTAAATGTTCAGAAGGCACAAGAACTTAATATACTTGGTTCTATAAAATGACCTTTTATAGAGTAGTTCATATTTAACTGGAATGGTAGATTCAAACTGTAGTGCTGCCAAACAGTCACTCTCCACATTAATGCAGATGCATCTCCTCACCAATACAAAGAAGTTATATGCAATTGGTTTTGCTAATTCTAAAACAATGCAGGCTAAGAACTATTTGCTTTAATAACTCTGTTCCTTTTTCTCAGCAGAACAAAGTCGATGCTGTCCCATAGTTTGTTATTCAAACCAAGCAAACTAACATATGTGCATACATACAGTATGTAACCTTACAGTGTAGAAATGAAATTTGCCTTCCATTTTATATGTATACCTGCTTCTTGATGGATCTTATTGAAATGTTTTCCATAGAATAATAATTTTAGAAAGGGATTAAAAGAACCCTGTGGATCATCAACTCCAGCCCTTGTCAAGGAGGCTCAGAAGGAAACTGAACTCCCAACCTCTAGCTCCGAGCCAGATACCTAAACCACATAGTTTCAAATCTTTTGAGACCTTTATTCTCAAACATATGAAAATGTTTGCATTGTAATAGAGATAGAGATTTGAAATACAGAGATATCTATGCATCATAACTATTGAGTTTGTAGTTCTGCTGTTGTAGCTTATACGAATGATAATTAACACAACCAAGGCAATTGGTTCTGAACTTTGAATTGAGTTTTATAAGAACTGTTGCTCTTCAAGCAAGTTCTTGCTTCTACAACTTCAAGATCCACTTATATTTTAAAGCTAAATGATAGAGGAAAACAGCTTTGCTTGACAGGCAGGGGATTTGATGACAGCATTAATAGTAGCTATCTATAGTTCTTGTTTCTCTGTAAATAGAAAAACATGAGAATAATTGTGGAATGATTTATTCCAGTGGTCCCCAACCTTGGGCCTCCAGATGTCCTTGGACTTCAACTCCCAGAAATCCTGGTCAGCAGAGGTGGTGGTGAAGACTTCCGGGAGTTGCAGTCCAAGAACATCTGGAGGCTCAAGGTTGGGGATGACTGACTTATTCCTCCCCACAATACTTAGCATATAGTGAGCAACTGATCATCTTTTGAGCGTATGAGAAAGGTAAAGGCATTTCAGTGTCTGTTCATATTTGACAAATTACAATACACACAACAAGCCACTAATGGAAAAAGTGTATTAAAATATTCACAAGAGTACAATAGAAAACATGTAAATATCCAATGAGATGTGTGTTCAACTCAAAAGCAAATCAAAACAAATTGACTGTGACCTCTGATTCCTGCTTTAGCACTAAAACCATGTAGAAATAAAACCTTTCCCCAAATTATACACCTATTTTATAGGTGTCTTCCCCTTTCTCTCCTCCACCCCTTCTAACGTAGCAGCATCATAATGTGGTGCTTTCCAGAAAAGAATGAACTGGCTAAGGGGTCCTGACTGCTTCCTGCAGCAGCTGCTTCTGAGACAGGGAGAAAGGACAGAAAGACAGTACAATACAAAAATTCAATTCCAATTTTTTAAAAGTGCAGAAACAAAGTAGAAGATGGCTCAATAGCTTCACTGTATGAACTGCTACAGAGCAACCGGAGTTCTTGAGAAGAAAGTCCAAGTTTTGGTAAATTTACTTTCACATTTGGGGTTCTTTTGCTGCCTTTCACAGAAAAGGGCATTAAGTTCAGCACCATAGGAAAATTGCTTGAGGTATGTCCCTCCCCACTCTCAACACTATTTCATTAATGGAGGCATGTGGAATTCTCACCCATTCCACACAAATGTAACAGTTCTGGTTTTAAAGGTTTCAGATAGGTACAACAACATACGAACAAGACTTAACAGACTTCAGGGCTTATTTGTTGATTATCAAACACCTGCTCATTTCACCAGTACTGACTGTACACTGAAAGTAAAGCATTCCAGTTTCATATACAGAGCAAATTACAAGGTACATGGTAAGCTAAACTATTTCCAAAAAGACGAAACAATTCCAGTTTCTCTATTCAAATACAAAAATGTTGATACTGCAAACACCCAAAGTACTCTGGCAAGACAATGCTTCGTGCACCAACAATATTAACTAATAATCTGAAGATCTTTAACTCCTTCCCACACCCTATGGGATAAAAGCATACTTAAACATTGTTAATTGCTGGTCAGAGTTGCTGATAAAACTACATTCTAAGAACTATTTGGATGTAACGTAAAGGACCGTAGCTTTACCTGCTTTCTTTAAAATTGGGGGCAGTTTACCTCCACTGAAATGGATGACAAACTAAAGTTTAATAGAACTGGACTGGACTTTTAACTTAAAAAAAGACAACATCCACAAATTAAGCAAAGCACATAAATACCCCCCCCAATAATGAGCTAATTGATGTCCTTACAGTGCCATAATTTTTCCAAAAATGTTATTGGGATACTTTCAAAGATGGACAGGGCAAAACGGGGGACCAAATCATAACACAGCTCTAATTCCAGAAACTACACCTTAAGAGAGGCATTTTCAGCCTTGTAGGATGGGGCATGGTAGACAAAAACTTGGGGCAACACCAAATACAGTACTGTATAACGGGGGTTGGCACTGGAACACTAGGAGGGTCAGATTCAGTTTCAGGTTGTCAGGCTCCACACCCTTGCTTTGCTGTTAGGAAAAGCTACATCCAGTGGCCAGGATCTAGGACTACATATCAGTTGATGAAAGAAGTTATGTTAGTGGTTCCAGGAGGAAGTGGTTCTCTTTCCCCGCAGATGTTCAAATCCTCCAGAGCAGAATTTTTAGGCGGTGCAAAGGTCTGGAGAAAGAAGGAAAAGGCTATAGTCCTGTGGAGGCACAGTGTATAGGGATGTTCATGAGGAAAGGACTTGCCTTCACATGGAAAAAGCCCTATCAGCAGGTCCATCAGAAGCACTACCCCACTGAATCCTAGTCAGTACACTTTTCATTTTGCTTTGTCACGCAGCATCCAAGCTACAGAGACCCTATCATGAAAAAGCTACACACTTAATGCTTATCAAACAGTTCATTACTTAACTTTGAAGGTGGCAGTGAGCAGCAGCACATTTACCAAGGGGACAGGAGGACAACAACAAAAAGATTCACCAATGTACTGTAAGCAATACTGTATTCAGTTTCTTCTAAAGTATTATGGAACTGGAACATACAGTGAGAACAAAGGACAGGTTTTCACAAAACATTTCCATACATACAAAAAGTAGATTATGTTAGTTATTCACAAAGTATGGTTCAAAGTATATAAATTAGCAAAGAATCATTCAATTAAATTTAAAGATGGATCTCCATACTAAATCATTTTAGTAATTCCAAAATCCCAGAGAGCATTTCAAGCAGAAAAAGTTTGAGCCATGACAAACACTTATGATAGAAGTGAAAGAGATATCCTTCTTTCATTCCTCCACTAATCATATGTAGGTACTTCCTACTAAGATGTGTATTCCTTCACTGAGCAAAGCATCTATCACAAGAGGTAGTTGCAAAACAGATATAATCTATTGTGTTTTTTACTTTTTTTGTTTTTGCTATCAAGTCCTACGATCCAGACGTTTTATCTTTTTACAGTAAGAGTGTTTATTCAAGATACCATAGAAGTACGCAAGGTTTATCTTAATTACATGATCTTCTTGCTTAAGAGTCATATCAGGCCAGGATATATCTAGTCCAGGAGTCTTTATAAGAATCCTAGTAGCTCCCCAAATTGTTAGATAGCTAATTAGTTTTGTCAGTGGTCTAGTCAGTGGACTGATCAGTGTAATACACTAGTACTTTTAAGGAACATTGACTTTCACTGAATAAAGAACCAAATATTAAATTTTGTATAGATTCCATTCACTATAGAAACATGTTCTGAACATAAGCAGATAGTGTGAGTCCAGATAGTGTCAAATCTCATTCACGTTTGTCTCACTATTTTATGGAATGAATCTTGACAGACTTCTCATTGATGTACACTCTCATGTCCTGCAACTAGAGGTTTTAAGGGTTTTCTAGAATAATGGAATTGTGAAACTAACTCTCTGAGAGTCTTAATAAAATGTTATACAATGTGTAAGAACCAACAGGGTAATGCTGAGCAATACAAGATTGATGATAATGTGATTATTTCATTTCTGGTAAAAGAAATTATGGCAAGTGGTGCCCAAAGCATCTATGATGAATGAGTACAACCACATAAATTTCACAATTTCAAAACAGGGTGAGATAAGCTCCAATAATGAAGAGTGAAGACAATACAGTGGTGCCTCGCTTGACAACGTTAATCCGTTCCAGCGAAATCGCTGTAGAGCGAAATCGTCAAGCGGGGAAAAAAACCATTGAAACACATTAAAAACCGCTCAATGCATTCCAATGGGCTAAATACCTAATCATCCAGCGAAGATCCTCCATAGGGTGGCCATTTTCTGGTGCCTGTACAGCGAAAATTGTCCTAAAAACAGCGGGGAGCCATTTTGCACAGCGGGCGGCCATTTTGAGAGCTGCTGATCAGCTGTTTTCAGATCATCGTAATGCAAAGAATCGGTTCCCGAAGCAGGAAACCGATTGTCGTAAAGCGATTTCCCCCCATTAAAACGTCGTTTTGCGATCACAAAAGCAATCGCAAAAACTTCATTGTGAAGCGATTTCATCATCCACCGGGGTAAGTGTCTAGCGGGGCACCACTGTAGTCAGGAAAAAAGACAATAGAAGAATTCTCTCTGGGACAGTTAGAAAAATTGTATCTCTTAACAGGGCACAAACTCTCAAGTTTACTAGAGAAATGAATTGCTAAACTTGAGGCACAGGTGACAGAGGATACAATAATTTTGCTATTTTTTGTGCAGTCATCACTAGGAGAATGAAAATGCCATCTACACATCTCCAAAATTGAAGCAAACTTGTTCACTCAGCATATTTTTATGTCATTAGCCTAAGAAACTGCAAAGTTAAAAACTCAAAAGAGAGGGAGTGGACCAAAGTTCAGTCTTGCTTTTATTTGCTGCTGCTATGTGCCATCAAGTCAGAATTGACTTATACTAGCCCTAATAGGGTTTTCAAAGTAAGTGTGGTATTTAAGGAGTGGTTTTATCAGTTCCATTCCCCCAGTGAGTTTCCATGGCTGAGTAGGGATTCTTACCCAAGCTTCCCGATTCCTAGTCAGTCACTCTATCCAGCACACTACATTGGGTACAGTATCTGCTCATTGTTGTTGTTTAGTCGTTTAGTCGTGTCCGACTCTTCGTGACCCCATGGACCAGAGCATGCCAGGCCCGATGTGTATTTTTTTAAATCCCCCCCCCAAATGAGGCCAAACATAAAAAAAAACCCTGTCAATTGCTGTGATTTCCACCACTCTTGTATAAGAATGAAAGGGCCAGGGCCTTTCTCAAACCCCCCCCCCTTGTAAATTTGTGTTAGCAATAAAGTCTATGTTTTGGATTAAAAGAACATGGTATTAGTACAAAATGTAAGGTTATCACTTCTATTATTTTTTCACCAAAAATTCCTAAAAGTTAAAAAAAACATAAAAACTCTTCTCACCCAATGATGAGGACAGTTTTAAAAATTTCCATTCTCACTTGCAGAAACAAAAGAATCAAAGACCAACATCACTGCTTTCATTATGCTGATTTCACTACACTGACTTCTGTTTTCTGCAACATAACAGAAATGAACATCTAAATGAGCCAGAACAAATAGCATTTTTCCTTTCAGGACACAATATCCACCCATACTCAGCTTTTTGCTAAAACAAGAAAGCGTCAGTTGACAGCAATAGCACAACCCTGTACATGTTGATTCAAAAGGAAGCCTCACCAATGGAACATACTTCAAAGAAATCATGCTAAGGATTACAGCTCAGCTTTACTGAGATGACAGGATAGAAAAGTAAGCTGGCCACAGCATGGCACAAGAGTCATTACTGAAGACTTTCTTTTAATTATTCCACTTCTAGAAGACTTGTACAGGCCACAACATTAATGGTGCACACAAACGTGGATGAAATGTAGCACTGAGCCTACCAGGGAAGTGTTCACACCACATTTTGGGCGGACATATATAAAATTCTCCTCTTCTTGCTTAAATGAAACCTATTCTGGATTTACACACTGCTGTCAAGCCAGCAGTTAATTAAATCACAAAGGCATTTCCAAGTCTTATAACAGTTTTAAGTTTTAAAGTTGTTATAGTTTAACAACAACCACTCACCAAACATGAACAGAGAAACATGCAAGGCATTTGGAAAAAGCAACAGCAGACAACCTGCTTGAAAGTGGGAAATGGAAAGACGTGGATGCAAAGGTATGTTTTAACATTACAAGAGCAAAGACATGGTCCACAGAGCTTATCTCACAGCAAAGAAACCTATAGCTATTCTTTGAAGGTATGTGGTAAAAGGAAAAAAAGGCAAAATATTGTAGTACTTTTATAGATTTATTTCAGTGTGAGCCTCTGTGGATCAAAATTCACTTTTCCAGACACTTTTTGAAGGGAAATCCATATATAGTCTAATGGCTAGTGACAACAGGAGTTATGTTATCATCCTCTTGAAGCTCTAAATTTATTATTCCATCATATTTCCATGAAGTGCCCTTTCTGTGGTATTAATGGTATTACACCAAGTAACGAGAGTACTGGGAGTTCTAACCAGATGCTATATCTGATAAGGCTTTTCTACTTATTAGAACCAGACAAATGCAAAAATATTAAAGAAAGCTGATGCTCACCTAGTACTCAGCTGTTTTTTGTTGCTGTTCAAAGATAAAACTGAATTTAACATTTACGAGGGGGTGCTGATAAGTATTGAGCCTTTCCCAGAAAAAAATTGAGCTAGGAAGCTATAAATTGCAGGGTGTATTGGCCAATTTGTCTGCATTCAATGCTGCAAAAATCAACTATTAATGATTTTAACTTATCTTTCATGTTGAGGTTCAAAGTGAACATGGCGGCAACTACAGAAAAGTTCAATGTGGAAGAGCATAGGACCATAATCAAGTTCCCGTTTCTCCAAGGGAAACATGCAAAGCAGATCCATGATGAAATGTCACAAACTATGGGTGACAGTAGCCCTTCATATGCAACAGTTAAAACGTCAGGTTGTCAATTTTAAAACTGGCTATTTCCGTGTTGAAAATGAGAAACCCAGTGGAAAGCCTGTTTGTCTCTGTGCTTGCAAATGTGAAAGCCACCCATGTCAAGATCATGGAGGACTGCTGAATATCAGCCAAAAGTATTGCTATATATCTGAGAATATCACGTGAGAGAGTTGGTGCCATTATCCACAATGACTTGGAAATGAGAAAGCTTGGCAGCAAAGTGGATCCCCACACTTTTAACAACTGAACAAAAGAGGAAAAATGTGGAGTCATCGGTGGCTCTTTTGGAACCTTTTGCAAGCAATGAGTCAGATTTCCTGGGCAAACTGGTAACTGGTGATGAGACATGGTGCTACTGTTGTGATCCTGAGACAAAGGAACAGTCTAAGGAATGGCGGCACAGTGGTTTCCCCAGGCCGAAGAAGTCCCGAGTGCAAAGGTTGGTGCAGAAGCAAATGGCAACAGTTTTTTGGGACAAGAAGGGAGTTTTGCTGGTGGACTACCTCCAACAGGGTTCAACCATCAATGCAAAATATTACTGTGCTTTATTGACAAAGTTGAGTCAAAACATCAAGGAAAAACATCGAGGAAAGCTCTCCAAAGGTGTCATCCTGTTGCATGACAACGCCTCGTCACACACTGCAGGTGAAACAATGGCAAAACTGACGTCCTTAGGCTTTCAAGTGATGCCCCAACCCACCCTATTCTCCTGACCTGGCTCCTTCTGACTATTATCTGTTCCCCAAACTAAAAAAAACACCTAAAGGGACAATAATTTGGGAGTGTTCTGGAGGCAACTAATGCTGCAAACGAGTGGGTTACACCAGCAGTCGGAAGAATTTTATCTGTGGGACTTGAGAAGCTGCAGCACAGATCTCTCAGGTGCATTGACTTCCTGGGGAATAGTGTGGGAGTTACAGCTTCCTAGCTCAGTTTTTTCTGGGAAAGGCTCAATACTTATCAGCACCCCCTCATATTGCTGATACTCCATAAGACCTGAAGTATTCACATTTAGAGATGTGGAAGGGGAAAGTAAAGAAAAGGGGACCTCTTATCAATACTGCATTATCAAAAATGCCTCATTTTAATTTATAAAGGTGGAAAAACCACTTTACTCTTATGGGAGACTACCTTCAAAAGATGTATGTTTTAATTAATGCCCTGAAAATAGACCTTTAACTTCAGTTTAAAAAAACATGCTGGGAGCTGAAGGCAAGTGAAAGATTTTCATATGGATAAAATGTGTCCAGGAAGGAGTAGAGAGGCATGAAATACGAAAACGTGTGTGAAAAAGATTCATGCCAAAACAGTTCTTCATGTCCATTTCAACGAAAGGAACAGACCCTGTTAAAAAAACACCAAGGTATCAAATCAATTAGAATATGCAGGAATTTTTCAGTTTTTCCACAATCAAGACAAATTAAGGGTGCAAATGAATATTTGATGTCTTCCCCTTATCCTAGATACAAAAAGGGCAATTTATAAGCAGAATTCTTATCATAGTTCAACATGCAACATTGTTCTCATTTCTGTACGATTAAATAAGACTATTTACACACAATATATAATCTCTTTCTCTTTGTTTGCACATGCATTGGTCCTAGCCTAGGCATCAAAGGCCACATGTGAGTTCTCTGGGTCAATTTTCTTCAAGCGATTCCAGTTTGAATTTTTGTTTAGCTTTGGGTAGGGTTGAGATCTCCTCAGTTCTTCCGAATGTCAGCATAGACCACAGACTCTGACTTGATGATCTTGTCACTGTAATGCCCTCCGGAGTGATCTAACTGTGCATAAATTACTGGTCCCTAAAAACAGAGAGGGAAAAATAAGGAACACAGAGTAAGGAAACTGAAAAAGAGCTTTTTTTTCAGCACCCTGCTGAGATGCAAAATTTACAAAGCACCAAAATTATCTACAGTTTGGTTAGCTAAATAGAAGCTCACTTGAAAACACATCACAGGTAGACAAATCTCTATTACATGTATGGAAAAGGTTTTTCACACATCTCTGTTCAAAAGGGGGTTGCTTAGAAAACAAATGAAGTGGAATTTTCCTGAAGTCTGACTTAGTAAAGTGACTGTAAAATTTATGTTCCCTCACGTACGTATGGCACCTCACTCTTCAGGTAAATGACTGTCTAGAGCACAGTGCACTCAACAACAAAAATATATAACATATTCCTATTTGAAGAGATAAGCACATGAAGCAGTCATAGTCCTAAACTCCATTCATTCTGTGGGTTCCATTTGTCCCACAGCCATGGAATAGATACCATAAAGGGCATTCTGCTTCTAATCATATTACTCTTGGAACCTGCTTTTCATTACTAAACAAAGGTCAAGTCCTGTTGGCATACATTTACACCACACAAACCATATAATGTAACCATTCAATGACCTATATCTTTAATTAAATTAAGTGTTATAAATCCTATCGCTCTTCTTCAGGTTCCAAGGCTCCCTAGAAATCCCTTTTGCCCTTGGGAAGCCTCTGATATTAGAAAATCCCCACCAAATAGCTGCCAGAGTTCCCAATCCACTGGAGGCAATTTTCCAATATGAAAGGCTCCCTCCACTGAGTCCCAAGGCTCCAAAGGCTTCTCAGAGGTAAAAGAGATATCTGGGGAACCTTGAAACCTGAGGTTGGTGGTGGGGGGAAATACTGTGTTTCCCCGAAAATAAGACAGGGTCCTATATTAATTTTTGCTCCAATAAATGCATAAGGGCTTATTTTCAGGGGATTTTTTTTTCATGTAAAACAATCTCATCGTCGTTTAGTCATGTCCGGCTCTTCGTGACCCCATGGACCAGAGCACGCCAGGCCCTCCTGTCTTCCACTGCCTCCCGAAGTTGTGTCAAATTCATGTTGGTCGCTTCGATGACACTGTCCAGCCATCTCATCCTGTCGTCCCCTTCTCCTCTTGCCTTCACACTTTCCCAACATAAAGGTCTTTTCCAAGGAGTCTTCTCTTCTCATGAGATGGCCAAAGTACTGGAGCCTCAGCTTCAGGATCTGTCCTTCCAGTGAGCACTCAGGGTTGATTTCCTTTAGAATTGATAGGTTTGTTCTCCTTGCAGTCCAGGGGACTCTAAAGAGCCTCCTCCAGCACCACAATTCAAAGGCATCAATTCTTCGGTGGTCAGCTTTCTTTATGGTCCAGCTCTCACTTCCATACATCACTACAGGAAAAACCATAGCTTTGACTATTCGGACTTTTGTTGGCAAGGTGATGTCTCTGCTTTTTAAGATGCTGTCAAGGTTTGTCATCGCTTTCCTCCCAAGAAGCAGGCGTCTTTTAATTTCGTGGCTGCTGTCTCCATCTGCAGTGATCACGGAGCCCAAGAAAGTAAAATCTGTCACTGCCTCCATATCTTCCCCTTCTAAGTTTTTTCAAATACAGTCATGTCATCTTTGGGTTGCTGCACAATGGTGGAGAGAAGGTTTTCACTTAACTAGGCCTTATTTTGGGGGGGTAGGGCTTATATTATGAGCATCCTGAAAAATCATACTAGGGCTTATTTTCAGGTTAGGTCTTATTTTCAGGGAAACAGGTAGGAAGTTTTTAATTAAATTAAAGATATCCATTGCCAAGCTGTGATTAGTTTCGTTAAAGATCTGAAGCAGTTCCTCCTTTTTGGCAGGAAATGCAAACTGAGTCTCTTTTCGAATGTCAACGGATTTGTTCAATTTAGTATTAGGTGAATATATAACAGCTTCTACAGGTTCAAAACAACCAATGTCAGATAACTGTCCATATTGTGAGGACAACAACTCTGTCCCAAAACTGACAAGATTCATTGAGGGGTTGGCCCAAAACGCTCTCGATCTGTGAGTTTCCTCATCAGCGTACTCCGAACCGCGCAAATTGTGCCACAGCAAGGGTGTCTGGCCCAATCTCCCTCTGGTAGTGGATGGTTGACGGAAGAGTCTGGCCGGATCACCTTCGAGTGACCTTGTCCCCACGGATAAACCGCAACTGTCCATTTTAAAGTATCCGTCAATGTCCCTTTCCCCGTAAACACATCCGAATCAGGTAACAATCTTCCCACCTTTAGATTAGGGAAATCTTCCAACAACCCCTTCATTCTATCATATTCCAATTATTCATTCTCTCTCTCTCCTTCTTCTCCCTTTCCCTGGTCATCGGTACACTGAACTGTCTCCTCCCACTTGGTTCCCCTATATCAGTGGTGGTGAACCTTTTTGGGCTTGTATGTCCAAATGGGAAAAAAAACCCCACAAAAACCACTTCCTTCCGTTACCCAGGGGACACGGAAGGAATTGGCAGTGGAAGGGGGAATTCCGGCATGGAGGTGCCTCAAGGCCCTTCTGCTGCCAGCACCAGTTGCTCCGGATCCGTCTACCGAAGCCCCAGCACTGGCTGCAGCTGCCTCCTGCGGTTTAGCTGCGCAGGGAGGGAAGTAGCGATCTGGCGACTTACAGCCAGCAGAAAGGGCTCTGTGTGCCATCACTGCCCGATGTCTTCTTCCCACACTGGCAAAATTAGCTCCTCCTCTCCTTTTCTCTCTCCCTCTTCTACCAGACATATCTCAATCTGTCCCCCTTTCTCCTTTGGTTCCATTCCCTTCTCTTTCTCTACATTCAGTTCTTCATCCTCTATTACCCCCTTTCCCCCATAGTTCTCTTCTGCTCGGGCGTCACTAGTTGAGGGGACGGCTCACTCTTTTTTCTCCTTTTCCTCTACAGTTCCTTCACATAAGCTATGATAATGTCATCCAAAATGCATCGATATGTGGCTCCTTAAGTCCAAGCCAATTACATCCATTTTCTGAAAATTATGGGGTTATAGGAATATAGTTTATCTCTCTATCTGCCTGCAATGTTGATAAAGACAATGCAATATGAAGTCCTTGACTACAAATGCCTTCTTAGCAACTGTTCTACAGTGGTGACTTACAAACGTCTCTGACTTACAACCAATTTGAGTTACGATCAGCTCTGGCCGCAAAATTTTGCTTCAACTTGCGACCGGAGCTTTCAGTTACGATCAGAAAAAAGGTGGGGGAAAAGGCAGGGAATTTAAATTACTAATGGTTGGTTGGTGAAGAGGATGCTTCTTTGTAGCTCTTTTGCCCCAACAGTTAGAGAGAGTGCATCGGAGAAGGCTATAGACTGCCTGGTGCTGCTTTCTGCTTTTTAAAATGCATGTTTGGAGTAAGTACAGGATTTTGCAGGGTGGGGTTGGGATGGGGGCAGTTACATTTCTGTAGATGGCAAGATTTACAGAGCACTGGAACAAAGAAAGTGGCAAAAAATTGACAATAATCCATATGCATTTTTTTTTAGTAAGATATGTTGCCCTCAAGAAATCAAGAGGGTAGTTCTGTCAACTTAGAATAACATTCTTCGATTTTTAGTTGGCCTAGAACTCCATACCTGCAGCACCAACTGAAAAGGACTGACATGTGTGAGTCATCAGAGACCATGAAGAAAAATATGCAATTATTAAGTATTCGTCTTAGCACTCCATATAGGAACTACTAGATAGGTATGAGATGTGCCCTATAATTTTGTCTCTTTACAGAAAACACTGAAGTTTACTTGGTGATGAAACTAAGAAAGTTTCATGCAGAAGTCATAAGAATGGGTCATATTCTGCACCTATACCTTCCTATTAGATTTACAAACTACAGTAGTGCCTCAACTTACAACCGTCCCGACATATGACCATTATGAGTTGTGACCTGCTCCAGCTGCAAAATTTTGCTTTGACTTGCATCTGGAGCTTCGAGTTGCGATCAAGAGGGGCATGGAAAAAAGGCGGGGAATTCAAATTAGAGGGCTAACTGTTGGTCGGCAAAGAGCTTCTTTATTGCTCTTTCACCCCAACGGTTAGTGTGTGCATTGGAGGAGGCTTGGGACTGCCTGGAGCTGCTTTCTACTTCTGAGTAAGTACATTTACAGGCTTTCACAGGGTGGGTTTAGGCTTGGGGGGTTATGTTTCTGTGCTGTGGTTTTTTTGTGTGTGTTTTTGTGTGTTTATTTTTTCAGCCCCAGGGCCTTCCAATGGGGCTTGCTGTGTTGTTTATTTTTGGTGGGGAGTTTCTTTTAAGCCCCAGCGACGGAGCTTGCTTGTGCTTTATTTTTGGTTGCTTTTTTAAAGCCCTAGCGACGGAGCTTGCTGTGTGCTTTATTTTTGGTTATTATTTTTTAAGCCCCAGCGACACAGCTTGCTGTGTGCTTTATTTTTGGTTTTTTTGGTGTGTGTTTTAAAGCTCCAGTGAGCAAGCTTGCTGTGTGCTTTATTTTATTTGGGGGGGAAGGGGGGTTGCCGGAACGAATTAATCGTGTTCCAATGCATTTCAATGAGAAATGGTGCTTCGACTTATGACCATTTCGAGTTACGTCCATCTTCTAGAACGAATTACGGTCGTAAGTCGAGGCACCACTGTAACATGTTTCTTTTTTATGCAAAACTTCAAATCTCTTTAAACAAGAGAATACCTCCCTATAGTTTGTATAACTGGCTCCTGAAATGTCATCAAGATGAAGAACAGTGGTTGGTATCTTCTTCAATACCAAATTACTAGTCCTACAAAAAAATGTTTCCCCATAGTTATAGTAGACTTCTTGCCCAATGATGATTCACTAGTAGAGATGGAATATTCATATTCATAGACGAATACAAATATCGTGCCTCGCCAAACTGACCAGTCCACTTATGGATCACTGCACAGCATGTATGGCTGGCATCCTTCTTGTTGCACCAATGCTGGACAAAGCCTGGCTGGTACTGCTCTGCCTTCCTGCTCTTCTGGCCACTCCAGCCAGGGGCGGGATGATG